TCCGTGTTAGGCTGCCTCTCGAATCCTGCTGTTTCGACACGAATCTAATGACGACAGCGCATGTTACATGTTTTGCTTGTCGGAAACCACAGTCAGCCCTTTTCTATCGATTTGCACGATCAGACTGTTTTACAAAGTCGACTTTTGTGTTTTCTGGGTGGCTTGAGGCTATTTTGACGATGATGCTTTCCTTTCATCGTGGCTTCGACACATCACTGCTTGTCTCTCGATATTTCCAAGTGGATATTTAACCTTGGCGAGGCTCGGGGAGCAGATGGCTGGCCCTTATGTGTGTCTGGCGTGTGCCGCGGCTAATGAAGTGATGTTTCTCTAAACACCTGAGAGTGGGTCAAAGCCGCCTCAATTTGGACAGGACCAGTTTTGGCTGCGGTGAAGCCGCTGCGACATCTTCATTGACTCACACCGCACGCTACCGTGGCAGTGTTGCGAAGGCCTCCGCACGCACTTCCTATTCGACGGGGAACCCGCCCCCATAGCAAAAGGAGGAGCAAATTCATGCATGGCACAGGCAGGAATCAGGCAAGCTAACGTGAAGAGCCATTTTCGTGCATCTGTGGGGACGCCTCAACTCGAGCCCACCCCCCCTGGGTCCGACTGGCGGAGTCTGCCTCATCTTGGCTATTTGCGTGGCAATGATTAATTTGAGATGATAAAGCACCACGTTCCATTCCGCACTTTATCCTGCAACATGGCAAAGACTCATTCAAAGACTCACGTTTAGCTTTCCAAAATGAATAGCGGCAATGCCGGTCTGCAGGTTTTTTTAGTCTATTTCATCTACCGGATGCTCGTTTGTGGCCTTTTTCCTCTTTTTGCTATGGTGCTACCTTTTGTCTTTTATCCTTCTTTTAAAGAGAATGAAGCTACAAAGTTAGTTTCCCTGCTGCTAAAGACAGCCATCCGCCGCCGCGAGAACACTTAATGAGACACCGTGAACAGACCGTTTCCGTCTCACATGAGTCAAGGGGACGTACACGTGGCAAGTGTGCCGCAGAAAGGCAAGTGGTCACTTGGCAGTTGACCCCGGTGCTTCATTTCAACTTTCCGCACATTTGGCTCAGTTTGATTTGCAATTGTTTATTTTTTCGGAAGCGCACGTCCCTCCGTATTTTCTTATTCATCGACCCGAGTGCCTGAATAGCACCCCATAAGACTTGTGCTTGTGCATTATTTGGGACTCCACCTGCCCCCGACCCCCCTCGCTACATTGTATACCATTTCTCATATTGTCTGTTAAATCCTCAGCCATTGTATACCCGCCTCCTGCTTCTCCGCTCCTTCCGCCCTTCACTTTGCTGTGCCAGCACTTTGATAGCCGAGTATAGCAGTGTGGCGTAATGAGGGTTGCGGCTTGCAGCCCAATGTGAGAACAGTCAATATTTCATATCGCTACCTGGAAGGAGACGCAGAGGGCGGAGCAAATTTTTAAAAGGGCAAGCTGTATGACAACTATATACACCATTCGAACCATTTTGTCAATGGAGGAGGGAGTGGGGGGGGGGGGATGCGACGGAGGCACTACAGAGGGCCGTGTAGCAGACGTCTCCTGAATTCCATTCCATTTAACATTTGCAAACAGACTCCGGTTTAGAAAAAGGCTGGCGCCTGCACTATGCAAACTCGAAGATTGAACTGATAGATGACAATGGAGGGGAAGCTGCATTAGCAGGAGACGGCATTGTCCAACTTGTATGAATGTTTCACATAACGCGGAGACGACCGTATATTTTGAATATGGCGGAAGGCTAATTTCTCCCGCTGGTTCCAGGTGCCAATATGCGCTGCTGTTTTCAAAGTTGTGCGAACATGACGGATGAGAATGAAGTCGCCAAGGCCCTTTCCTGCCTCGGATCTCAATCAGGCAATCGGCCTGTGCGGACGGTGCCAGCCTCGCCTCCTCCTATTGGCTTCCATGGCCCAAAGAATAACTGAGCATCAATTCACATTCCTCCCAATATCCTCACAGGTTACAGGCTACATCTGCTCTCCATCGGGCGTCCGCCGCTGCCAAATGAAGTGCGGGCGTATCGTGGGGGGGATAAGACACTTGCTATGAATGGTGATACGATCAGCTTCAGCAAACGAATCATGAAATGCTCGTATTACATATGTATCCGCTCTCATGAATACCTATTTTAATGCTAATGCCGTCCGTTATTCGCGAGCCATTTTGAATATTTCCTTACAGCAAATCAATCACGGCTGACGCGGTGCCTCACAAAGAATATTGAGATGTTGGAGACGCGTACGCTTCCATATCCACCGGTGACAGACATTGAATATGAAATTCGACATTTATTTTCAGGCAGGCAGAGCTCCATTCTCAGCTCGCCCAAGCACACAGACTGGGCTTTGCAGCAAAGTGCAACCAAACTCTTCCCCCGACGTGTGGACAGAGAGCGGGCTTAATGAGGCCAACAGTTCAGTGCTCTTCCGTCTGAGAGACCACCCTTGCCGGCGTGCCGTCCACGTGGTTTTGTCCGGCCCCGGTGAAATGCGGCAGCCTGTGTTTGATCCTTACAGCGGACTGATTCGGCTCCCTTGAAAGGAATTGCCATTCCGGTTGTGGATTGTTCTTTCCGGTTGCCCGTCTCTTTGTTTGTTTGATGACAGGCACTGCCACACCGCACAGGCAAAATTCAATCAAGCCTAATCCGCTATTTCTGCTATCGCCTGCTGAATTATTCACAAGACAGTTTTCTGCGTTATTGTTTTTCTTTTACGCTGATGCGTTGATGCCGTGATATGATGGAGCGTCTCCTTCCACATAGAGTTCACTTTGTTGTTGTTCATGATCCCCCATAGCGAGCAATAGCTTCCCCATCGAACCGTTCTCGCTTTTTTCGTACTTTCGAGGGTGGTCTTTCGCAAAAAACGGTGAGCAAGAGAATGCAAGAGATGAAACACTGAGGCCACTCAAGCGCTGCATAGGCTGCGCCGGGAAATTCTGTCCACACGGGTTCTGAACAGAATCGGTGATCAAGGGCAGCCTTGGCCGAGTCCAACCCTCACTGAAAACGAACCCGACTCACTGCCGACAATGCGGACCAAAGTCTGACCTGTATGGAACAGGGACTGAACAGCCCGTGTCAGGCGGCTCCGCGTGTCGTATTCCCAAAGCGCCTCCCACAGAACTCCCCGAGGGACACGGCCGAACGCCTTCTCCAAGTCTGCAAAACACATGGAGACTAGTTGTTTTCTTAGAAACACCAGAGGGAAAAAAAAACGTGCTTCGTCTCAGTTTTCATCCGATAAAAAGCTGCTATTTGAACAGGGATGACTTGTCCGACACACCGTAACTCCTTCAGTGCACTCGCTACTCAAGTGAGTTATTCATGATGGGGCGTGTCGATTTTTTTTGTATCCCCTGGAAATGCTTGGCCGCAATGATTGACACTTGCAATACTGTCCCATTCCTTTTGATGGGATTAAATTGTCATGACCTCTCAGATATGGAAATTGAGGCACGGATCAGAGGCTTCGGAAATGTCAACATGATTAAATTGTGAGACCAGTTAAAGGCATAGTTCACACAGATGCCAGGCAATTATTTCAGGGGAGGCCTCGTAGAACAACCGCTGCCTGACCCACCATATAAAGTCTCATTATTCTTGATGCCTGTACAAAATAGACACCGAGACAGTGGCCAACGATTAATAAGATGGCTAATAGCATTTAGTATAATTCTTCTTATCAGTCCATGTCCATCGACACCGATGAATTTCCTTATTTTCATTTGTTGAAAAGAAAAAAAAACCCAGGAAGGGAACGTTTTAATTGAAACAGCAAAGAAATGTCGTCACTACCAAAATACCATTGATGTGAAATTGGGAACGATCTGATTGGACCCTTGAGTGCACTGCTCTGCCAACACATTGCCTTATGTGGCCCGTGCATATAATGTCCCGAGGTGTCCCCCAAGGTTCTGTGCTTGGTCCTCTTCTCTTCCTCCTCTAACTTCTACCCCCTGGCCAAATCATTCGTCATCACGGTCTCCAGTTCCACTGCTACACTGATGAGGTCCAATTGTACATCTGCACCAAATCGTTCACCCCAACAACCCACTCCACCCTGCCAAACTGACTTTCTGATATCATATCGTGGATGCACAGAAACTTTCTCATTCTTAACTGCACTAAATCTCAACTGCTAATAATCGGTCCTAGCTCCCTCACCCAAACAACTTTAACGTCACTATCGATCAATGCCACTCAAAGCCTCATCTACGCCTTGACTACTGCAATAGCATCCTCAACGGTACAACCTCCAAACTCCTCAATAAACTACAGGGGAAAGAACATTTAGTTCTTTGAGTTGGTTTGACTCCACGAAATGTTTTCATCCCATTTCATTCATTCAAACACAAACTCTACGTGACCGATAATATTCGCAGCACCGCGAATACTCCACGTTTGCACATTTGCATGTCCAACACATGTTTATGAGTGTAACGAGGTCCCGAAGCATTTCGCCATTTCGATGGCTATGAGCATTGCAGTAAATGCCAGCATGTAGCGTAACTTCAGGGTGAATGCTGCCATCTTGATACACACGACGGCACCGGAACAAAGTCAAATTAGCCGAGCCCAACTTCATTACATGACACGGAGAGCTGCTGCTGCACTTGGGTTTTGGTGGCTTTATCGGGCGACATCCACAAAGATCTCTTGTTCCGATTGTTCGTCGATTGAGCTCCAGTCATACCTCGGTTTTCGACTATAATCCGTTCTAGAAGGCTGTTCGAAAACCGATTTGTTTGAAAACCGAAACCACGCTCTTTTTAAAAAAAAAAAATCTTTATTGAACACATCTGCTCACAATGAAGCGTCACTTCCTCGTCTACCCGAGGAAGTGCGCTCAGTTTGGTCGAGAACCGATTTTCGGTCGTAATCCGAGGCATAAATACTCGAAATTTTTGGTCGAAAACCGATTTGGTCGAGAACAGAGACGTTCGAAATACGAGGTTTGACTGTTTTTGGCGTCATGTTTTGGCCACGTTCCCTCCACACACGGTCGCTCGACTCTTTGAGCATTCAAATGGTACGTAGCAAATGATCTCAACTGATTTTGCGAGCGTCGTTGCGGGACATCCGCTGGAATTGGACGAAGTGCACCGTGGGCGCTTTGCTCCGCGCGCTCTCCTGCTGCAGGGGAGGAGGGGTTCCAGTGACGCGGCGGCGGCGGCGGCTCCGACGGTCCGGGCTCTTACTGTGAGCAGAGCCGAGAGCTCAGCATCTCTCTTGTCAGCGGCACTTGAGCGCCAGACGAGCAGGCACGTCTTTCGCGCCGCACTCTCGAGGGGAAGAGCCGAGCTCCGGGATTTTACCGAGGTCCACCGAGCAAAGAACGAGACTCTCGTTTCCCCGCGCAAGTCCACGCTCTGCAAACATGAACGCAGGCTGCGTCACCATGGCGTGCACCTTGTTCGTCGCCGCATCCTGGGTAAGAACGTGACTTCGATGGCTTCGTGTGTTTTGGGAGTGTGCTGCACTGGCGCGGTGCACCAGAGTGGCCGCGGAACGAGCACTTTGCTTTCTCCCGCAGTGCCACCGATGGAACGACAAAAAAACAGCAACCCGAGCGTCTTTTTCGTCGAGAATATTTGTTTTTTGTTTGTCGAACCGGGGTGAAAAAGTCACCAGCAACTCTTCTCGTTAACGTTCTTTCGGCAACGCTTAGCTGCAGATTGCCTTTTTTAAATGGGCTCCTTGTTCTGTCGTGGCTGTGCACAACTTGGCCCGTGCACATTTACGCACCGCCGTCTGCAACTTTCATTTTGTCACGTTCCTCTTGGTTTTGGGCTATCCATATGCCGCTTTCTCGGGCACGTCATCGATCGTGAAAACGCTCCGCTTGGTTTTCTCGCCAGACGGACCCGGTGACCACTTGGGGAGTTCGGGCCACCTGCACGCCGATTCCGTGCACATATCCGATGCTCACTTTTCATGGACACTGCCTAACAATTTTCTGGTTGAAATTGTGGCCGCCGTTACTGCCGTGTTGCGCCGCGTCTGTACACCCTTATAAAGAACAACGATTAAAATAGAGCATTGTTTGTCTCCCCGCGTTTTTTCAGCCAAGGCTACGATCTACATGCGTAAGTCGAGGTGTTCGTAGTTTTTGAATGGAATGAATCTCTACTTCACGAAGCGGCAAAAGGAGACATGGATTCCGTTTGAACGCAGCTTTATTGAAAAGGACTTCTGCACTGCAGCACGATCGAAAAAACACTCGTGGCAACTAAAATCACTTCCTGCTTTCCCTTACTTCAACAGCCAATCAGAAGCTATCAACATAAAACATGTCGAAGCAATTATTAAACAACGGAATGCAATTTAGGCCATCTTAACACGAAATAATATGATGCTCAAACATAAAATGATTATTCGTAATACAACATAAGCTTACACATGACAAAACTCTCACTGAACATAACCAAACGAAAACGTTCCACAATTAACACGTTGCTGGCAAAGAGCCATGAAAAACACACGCTATTTGGAGTTACTAAATAAAATGATGATTCCCTTTGTGCAGCTCTACTCGATATTGTGGCCAGTGAACATAAATATGAACGTAGCAGCTGAGAAAAGCCGCATTTTGTATTGGTCAGGTCGCCCTCGTTGTAGGTGATGTGCCCACGCGTATCGCGCGGGTTTGACTCGTTTCGCATCTCCTGTGAGTCCATCAGCGGCACCATGCTTGTCATTTTCATCATGATGGTAGTCAAATTTGTAATGGCGAGAACAGTCATCGAGATCATCTGTTTTGGGAGCAAATGCCAGCCCGGATGGCTTGGGGTTTGTCACATTCACTCAGTCGTCCGTGTGAGCAATGTGTTGGTTAGCAGCCTAAGAAGGCTCTCTAATCAGTCAAGTTGCTGAAGCTTTACAGGCTGTTTTTGTTTTTTTCCCCTCGCAGGGGAGTAAGGTGGGCCTGTCCGCAAAACCTCCATGCAGGTCAGGCTTCTCCCAGAACTTCTACACGGTGCTGGTTCCCAGGGTTGTGCTACATGGCCAGAACATTCTCAAAGGTACGTCTGCTGCTGCTGCTGCTGGATCTCAATGATTGACTTTTTTTTTTTTTTTTCCTTTCCGCCGTCCTCACAGAGAGCTTGATTGAGTGTGGCTCTTGGCATGCTCAGTGTCTGTGCAGAACCTTTGCTATGTCGTGTCTCCTCATCACCCCCGTAGAAGGTCAGCTCGCGCTGTGCTCGCGGTTGTGTAATATCAGCTACGCCGTTCACGTGAAGGTGCTTAAACTGGAGCAGAAAGTTGTTGCAAGGGGTTCAAAATGTCTTTTTTCCCCCCCCCATTGTCATTTGATTTGGTTGAAGACCCGGAAGAAGTATTTGACTGTTTATCGTGAGATATTTGCCAAGTGTCTCATCCGTTTGGGTTTTTGGAGGAATGCAATTCTGTTTTTGTTTGCTCCATTTTTTTTTTCAACATCTATTGCGAGCTTGATGAGAAATTAAGTTGCATTTCCTCCTGCGGGCCTCCTCAATGTGCTGGTGAATCTGCCGAAATAGAAAAGCCCGTCTCTGCCGCAGCCTCGAGTTCTAAACTGTATAACTGACATTTCGAAAGTTCCAAAAGAAGGAACAGTGAGCAAACGCAGCATTCATGATTTCTGGTGGCGGCGGCGGCGCGGTGAAGAACGGTTGGCATGTCCGCCTCACAGTGCAAAGGCACAGGGTTCGAATCTGGGCTCTGCCCATGTCTGCGTGGCTTTTCTCCGGGTATTCCGCTTTCCTCCCACATTCCCAAAACATGCACGTCACTTTAATTGAGCGCTCTGAATTGCCCCTTGGTCTGATTGTGAGCAGGAGTGGTTGTTGGTCTTGGTGGGCCCCGCGATGGACTGGCAACCGGTTCAGGGTGTCCCCCGCCTACTGCCCGAAGACGGCCGGGATAGTTCAACATCTATTGCGAGCTTGATGAGAAATTAAGTTGCATTTCCTCCTGCGGGCCTCCTCAATGTGCTGGTGAATCTGCCGAAATAGAAAAGCCCGTCTCTGCCGCAGCCTCGAGTTCTAAACTGTATAACTGACATTTCGAAAGTTCCAAAAGAAGGAACAGTGAGCAAACGCAGCATTCATGATTTCTGGTGGCGGCGGCGGCGCGGTGAAGAACGGTTGGCATGTCCGCCTCACAGTGCAAAGGCACAGGGTTCGAATCTGGGCTCTGCCCATGTCTGCGTGGCTTTTCTCCGGGTATTCCGCTTTCCTCCCACATTCCCAAAACATGCACGTCACTTTAATTGAGCGCTCTGAATTGCCCCTTGGTCTGATTGTGAGCAGGAGTGGTTGTTGGTCTTGGTGGGCCCCGCGATGGACTGGCAACCGGTTCAGGGTGTCCCCCGCCTACTGCCCGAAGACGGCCGGGATAGACTCCGGTACGCCCGCGTCAGGATGAGATAAAATGGATTGATGGATGAATGCTTTCTGGTCCATGGAAAAGTTGGAAGGCTTTTGGTTTGGAGTCTTGTTGGTCACATGTTGGTCACACTGAAAACAACATGCTGTACATGACACTTGATATGTGCAGTCCGTCTTTGTCTCGTGTAAAATGAAATATGCCAAGAGGGATTCTTTTTTTGTTGTTGTTGTTCATATTGCAATAGCAGCTGACACGAGTGTCTTCCAGTGGAATCATTGAATTACTCTGTGTTGTTATTTTCAAGGGAAAGAAGGACAGTGTCACCGGTCACTAGTGACGAGCGAGTTTGCCTGAAGGGCCTCAAGACACCCTGGCCCATTTACAAATGGGCCAGGGTGTCCTTATTGGCCCAGACAATTTGAACCAAGTCAAATAAGCCCACGGTTGTCATGATGAATGGCGATCCCGATCCCGCCACCCTGCACTCCTCCAAGTCGGCCACTCGCTGGGCACCAGCAGTGTCACGCCTCGTGCAATGATTAATGCGCGCTCGCTCGCTTTACCAAGGGCCCGTCCTTGCGATGCTAGGACGCTAAGCGAGAGGAATCCTTTACTCAATAGTAACACTACAGCACAGCGTGTATCGCCCGAAACTGTCCGCTTTCCAGAAAAAACAACGTCTCGGCTGTGCTTCAAGCTTGGGTCGAGGCTGCTGCCGAGGTTGCGAGGCGGTTCGCCGGACCGCTCCAGACCCAGGCTGTCGCGTTCCTGGAGAAAATGACGGTGAGCGATTGCGGGAAGGACTCGAGGACGATGGCCCGGCACGCTCAGTGTGAAGCAGGCTTGTGTTTCCTAGCACGTCGGGCCTCATGCTGAGGTGAAGGAGGAGTTGTTTTGGTCACGTGTGGGCGGTGCGTATGTGAAGCCATGATGTTGTCTCACGACCACTAATTGAGCCTGCGTTCATTGGTCGCACGTCCGTTGTGTGAACACCGTGGGCCAAATCCATTCAAAGTTTGCGTGGCTTTTGCGTGACCGGGAAAAAGGGAGCGAGCAGATCGCGTCTAATTCACAAAGCGCGCGCAGATGGCGAAATGCTTCCCTCGCTGCGATGCCGAGCAGAATGCGTCTCGCCGCGCCGCTGCTTTTTGGCGCGGATTGAAACCAGGTAGTATGCATATGCCATGAAACCGGAGAACTGTTAGAATGGATTTAGAAGACGGCAACATGAGGCGGGTGGCCTCGCTTCCTTTATTTGCTCTTCATATCTGAGGAGATGAGGTGTCTTTCCTCGCTGGCCTCATCCCAATGCGTTTGATTTATTGCCTTTTTACCTTGCTATTATTAACTGCTTCAGCTTTTGCAGGGTGCAAAAAAAAAACAAAAAAAAACCCTCCAAAAAGAAACCAGTACAGGAAAAGATAAATTTAAGTAGGATCGTGCCCCCAACAGCTAAACACTTGAGTGTGCTTTTTCCATTGTTTTGTCTCGTCTCAAAAAGTTGCTTCCACAAAATGACTTGCGACGTGACCCCAATTAGGCTACAGCAGGAAACTCTGGCGAGGAGCCATATCTACTGCGCCGCAGCCCAGCATTAGGCTCCAAAGCGAGCGAAAGGCCTTCCATAAGTATGTCCGGTCCCAACAACTGCGCGCAAAGAAGCTTGGGAGGGATCATGCGTCATTGCGTGCGATAAGCGCGATGCCATTTTGCCTTTGACTCATGACGGTGTGTCTCTCTTGTCCTTCAGAGAGTGTTTCACCTGCGCGGCCGGGACCAGCAGTCTGCCGCCAGGCGATATAGATTCCTCAGGTAGAGACGATGAGCCGCATCGCGTCGCTTTATCTGACTCGCCTTCGTCCGCGACCAGGTCGCGTAGCTCTTAAATCCTCACGGCCCGCTCGTGGAGCCAGTCGCATCCAGCGAGCCACCCGAGATACGCCACGTGCCGCGATACGCACAATGCTATTTTTCAAGTGGCTTTCTCCGCTGTTCGACAAGGCACCGATGGGGTATTCTTTGTCACAGGAAATATCGCCGTCTCGTCTATGTTCTTACGTGAATGTTTGGGTTCTTCCAGTTGTCCGTACAAGGGCGAGCCCACATAAATATGTTCTGTCCAGTCGCAACACGGCATTCTCATGAATCTTGCATTCATCTCAGGGGGCGGCCATTTTGTCACTCGCCTTGCTCGGGGTTCAGGTCCCGACCAATCATGGCTCAGCGGCAGAAAACAGGTGAGCCGTGATTGGCCGCTGCCCTGAGCAACAGAAGAGTGTGATGAGGCGTCGCACCCCCCGACCTGAAAGTGTCACTCTTTTGTTTTTTTCACTGCCCCATTAGTGCTCTATTTTGGAAAGGTTTGGGAAAAACGACATATTATGTCAAACAAATGACAGAATTACATGTGTTCAAATGTAAACAATGAAAAAAAAAAGGTGCACTGTTGTTAATTTATACGTTTTGATTGGAAAATGTCACATCCATAAATGTACATTTTTGTACGGAATCGAACCCCGCACCTCAGCGCTGTGAGGCCGATGCGCTTATTGCTCTTATAATTTTAGTTTTTTTAACATAGAATAGATTTTTGCCACACTGTTATGTCGGTGTGTAAAAGATGCTCATTGGATTGCCTGATGCTCTATTGTATATATTTTGTCAAAAAAATTAATCAATAAAAAAATAATCAAAATGGCCGGCCCCTAAGATGGACAAGAAGGGGTGGATTTGGCTGCTTAACTCATATTCCACCATCGCAGTATTCATCAGAATGCCGTTTTTAGACTCATGGGGGGGCAGACAAGACAGAACCGGAAAGAAAATTTTGGGCTTGACTTCCACTTTAACTGAAGTGTGGACCACCGGTTTGTATTGTGTGCATGCCCGGAGTGGAATTTTGTTGCACTCCATATTAGTACTTGGAGGCGGTTGTTGGAATTCCGTTTTTGCTCGTATCTTTCTTTTTCTCTTTTTTTCTTTTGAACATGTTTGTATGGCTTTCTTGCAAAAAAGCGGACATGTAATTGTATCGATGACTTGTCATTCAGGTTCATTCAAAACTGGAAGTAAGTCAGGCGCAACGGCCGCCGGGCATCCCGAGTCACAAGACATTGATGGCCGAGCATTTCCACATTTCCCCGGCGAAGGGCTCCGTTTGCAGTCAAGCGTGCGCGTCCGTTTGGTTCTTGATTACTCCGTTGACTTTGATTGTACAATATGATGCAATTGCTCCTGGGGAGGAACCAAATTGTACCTTGAAACAAATTGGCACAGCATAGCCAGGAACATGGCTGAAAGAAACAATGAAAGAAATCCAAAATGCTTTGTGTTCCATCAACCGTTTGCCCTCAGGAGGGTCATAAGCCATTTTCTCTTCCCAACAAACTATGCATCAAATGTGTGCCAACATTTACCCACGCAGTCGGAACCGGTGGAGGGAGGGAGGGCGGGAGGAAGGGAGGAAGAGCCAGCTCTCTTTCGGATCGCCACGGTCATATCCAAACAGGCTGACTTCATTCCTCTTCTGTGGTGCCACTACGTGAAACATTGCGTTCGAGTTTCGCATTGCGCACCTGCCTCTCCGCGCCCATACACACGTAACCCGGATCTGCCTGTGTGGGGAACCTTTGCGAATCTCGCAGTTGCTCCA